AAGTTCTAGATTTCTATTGACTTCTTGGATGATGAAAAATAACATAGGGATGGGGCCTTTATATAGGCACAAAATATATCTAAGCCTAATCTACCTAGGGAACTAATAAAGTAATAAAATATTAAGTAACCTAAACAATCTAGATCTCATAATGTAAGATGGAAACAACTTGGCTTTCACTCCACTCAAACTCTCTCTCTTCGGCCCTTCCACGCGACCGCCCTACGCCCAACCGCCTGCGTCGCCTAGTCCTTGCGGCACTAGGGCGCGCCGCCTCAACGTGCGCGTGCAGTGGCGCCCAACGTGCTGCACACGCCAACGCTGCCTGCGCCGCCCCTTCGTGCGTGGCCACCCATTAGTCCGCACTTTTCGAGGACTGCGGCATCGCGCCCCGCGCGTCCTTCCCCATCGGCCGTATTGCACACGCCTTTGCTCCCGGCTGCTTCTCCGCGTGCGTGCTGCCCCGTCTTTCCGCATGCCTCGAGGCATGCGGCCTCGTCCACTGCGCGTGCCTCTTCCACGCCCGAGCTCTCCGCGTGCGCGCCCTTCAACCCCGCGCTATGCGCGTCCTGCCCGCCATGCGTGCCAGCCGCGCACACCGCCCGCACATCCGTGTGCGGCCTATCCTCGCCCGTTTCGCGCGCACTACACTCTAGTGCGCGCACTTCTACCTTCGCCCGTGCTTGCCTCTTGCGTGCATGGTAAGCTCGACTTGCGGCGTTCTTGAGCTGCCTAGCCACTTTCGCACCATTCCCGTCCCCTTCAAGTGATTCCTTGTCCTCAAGGATGAAATTCGGGAATTGATCATGCATTTCGTCAAGTTCCTCCCACGTGGCTTCTTTAGATGGCAACTCTTCCCAGTCAACTAGTACTTCCCAACGATAGCGCCCTGCTCTCTTTACCTTACGATACTCAATCGCTCGTTTTGGGCGCACTATGGCCCTGCCATCAGTTGCGGTTGCAGGTAACTCCTCACAATACTTCTGTGCTTCTCCTAAGCTCCTCTTGAGTTGTGAGACATGGATAACTGGGTGGATTTGTGAACTTTCTGGTAACTCTAGACGGTAAGCTACCTGACCAATGCGCTTTAAAATCTGATAAGGTCCATAATAACGAACGCCTAGTTTAGTTGTGGCCCTTTGTGCTGTGGTGCGCTGTCTGAATGGTCGTAGCTTCAGGTAGACATACTCGCCTGGTGCAAAACATTCCTCACGCATTTTCCCATCTGCGAAGGCTTTGGTTCGGTTGATTGAGCCTTCGAGATTTCTCTTCAATTCTCGCAACATTAGATCTCGTTCCTCTAGCTCTCGACCAACTTCGTCGTGAACTGTACTCCCCTCCGAGTAATTGATCAGTGTTGGGGGTTTTCGCCCGTATACCAATTCAAACGGTGTCATCTTGGTCGACTCGTCGTAAGTGGTGTTGTACTAATACTCAGCCCAAGGCAAAAATATTCCCATTGCTTCGGGAATTGATGGACGTAGCACCTCAAATACTGCTCAAGGGTCCGGTTGGTTACCTCAGTTTGTCCGTCTGTCTGTGGGTGGTAGGCTGAGCTCATAGATAACTTAGTTCCTTGCAACTTGAAGAATTCAGACCAAAAGCTGCTCATAAAAATCCAGTCTCGATCAGAGACGATCGATCGAGGTGCTCCATGCAGTTTCATCACGTACTCCACAAATAACCTGGCAATTGTCTTCGCGGTGTAAGGATGGGTAATGGGTATGAAGTGAGCATACTTTGTGAGTCGATCCACTACAACCATAACACCGTCAAACCCATTAGAACTCGGTAACCCCTCGATGAAATCCATAGTAATGTCTTCCCAGATTGTCTCGTCTACCGGTAGCGATTGTAACAGCCCGCTCGGCCGTCGTGAGTCAGACTTAGTGCGCTGACAATCGTCGCACCGTGCTATGTAGTCTCGGACGGTATTTTGCTGTCCGGGCCAGAAGAAAGTGTTGGCTATTCGCATCCACGTGCGGTAAATACCCGAATGGCCTCCAATTTTAGAATCATGGAAGTGCTGCATGATCTGCTCGCGTAACTGCCCACTGTCGGGAACGTAGACTCGACCTCGGTGTAGAAGTAGACCATTATGCAACTCGTAATCGATAGCAGTTTTCTTACCTGCTTCTATCGATTGGCACAGCTCCTGGCAATAGGTGTCCTCTACTTGCGCCTTCCTGATTTCCTCCCAAATAGTCCAAGCTGGCCCCGTGATAGCATTCAGCTCGGCTACATCTGTTCGTCGGGATAATGCGTCAGCTAATGCATTCTGTCGACCCGGTCGATAAATTATCTCGAAGTCAAACCCCATTAGTTTAGACACGAACTTCTGCTGCTCTGGGGTAACAATCCTTTGCTCCAATAGATGCTTAAGCGGTTGTTGGTCGGTAATAATCTGAAATCGTCGGCCCAACAGATAAGGCCTCCAGCACCTTACAGCCTCGACAACTGCTAGCATCTCCTTCACGTACACCGATAGACCTAACCGAGTAGTGCCCAGTGCCTTGCTGAGATAGGCTAGGGGTCGTCCCTCTTGCACTAGCACAGCTCCAATTCTGATGTCACTCGCATCGGTGTGTACCTCGAACAAGACATCAAACTTGGGCATGGCGAGTACTGGCGTTGTTGTCATGGCTTCTTTCAGTTTCCCAAACGCCTCCTCGCTAGCTCTGGTCTATGTGAACCCGCCTTTCTTAGTCATGTCTGTCAGTGGTTTGGCGATGGTTCCATAGTCTTTCACGAACTTTCTGTAGTAGCCCGTGAGTCCTAGAAATCCTCTCAGCTGTGTGAGACTTGTCGGCTTTGGCCAATCGATCATAGCTTCAATCTTTCGTGGATCAACCTTCACGCCCTCGTGCGATATGAAGTGCCCCAAATACTCAACCATCATTTGCCCGAAAGAACATTTGGATAGCTTTATGTGGAATGAGTTGGCCTCCAAAATTTGGAGCACTACTCTCAAATGCCCAAGATGTTCGCCCCATGACTTCGAATAGATCAGGATATCATCAAAGAATACCAGAACGAACTTACGCAGATACTCCTTGAAGATAGAATTCATAGCGAACTGGAAAGTGGATGGGGCGTTGCATAATCCGAATGGCATGACTAGATACTCATAGTGCCCCTGGTGCGTACGGAATGCGGTCTTTGGAATGTCGGCCTGATGGAGTCGAATTTGATGGTAACCAGCTCTCAGGTCGAGTTTTGAGAAATAGCGTGACCCAGCTAACTCATCGAGCATGTCATCAACGCTCGGGATAGGAAATCGGTCCTTGATGGTCGCAGCGTTCAGAGCTCGATAGTCAGTACAGAACCTCCACGTGCCGTCTTTCTTTTTGGCAAACAAGACTGGAGAAGAAAATGGACTCTTGTTATGCTGGATTAATCCTGATTCAAGCA